ATGAGAAAATATCAACATATGACATCTACATCACACGAATGATCCACTTTTCTTCTATTCCATTCAAAATCCTCCAATCAAACGGAGCTATAACTTTATAAGCCAGTGATATGATCAAACATAATCCTCCAATGTATAGAGTAATTTGTCTTACATATAATGATCTGTTAAATGATCATTATAAAAATGAATATTTTTATAGAAATGGCAGGAATTATAAGCGTGTGCTTTGTCTAAACTAAGTTCGGAAATTTGGTGACAGACTATCTTCGGAGATAATTATGATTGCGTAGACATTTATAAACAACCTGGCATGGATCATCCTAAAATGGATCGCGACGAAATTAAGGTATGTACATATGCTGTTATATAGAATGTTTTCTTTTGGAGTGAAATTTGCTGGTCTGGTCTGTTTAAGTCTGGTCTGGTCTGAACTGGTCTGGTTTGGTAAACGTCTGGTCTCTGTGTATTTTATAACTGTCCAAGTCTGGTCTGGTATGGTAAACGTCTGGTCTCTGTGTATTTTATAACTGTCCAAGTCTGGTCTGGTCTGATCTGGTCTGGTCTGGTCTGAGACTGAAAACAGTCCAAAAGAAAACATTCATAGTATATACTCCGTACTGACGGACTTCTCTATTAAGAGGTCTCGTCTTTGTGCTTGAAGCGGTGGGACCCACATATCTCTTGACCAATTAAGAAGTCGTTTGACACTGTTTTTCGACTTATCAGACTTATCAGTTAACTTTTTTATCAAACACATAACTTTTGTTTTCACGAGCTGAATTGTGTAATAAGCATAAAAAGTAAGGTTGAAGTTACTTTTTTGGATGTATTGACTGAAGTTACGGTAGATGACTAAATGATCATTTTTTTCTATTTTTACATTTTTTTATTTTATTAATAAAATATATTATAATTTTTTTCTTAAATTAGCAGAATCAGCCAATGCAGCCACTTCATCCAGAACTTCATAAATTTACCCAGAATCAGCCAAATCAGCCGATTTTTGTGCTATCAAACGGGCTCTAAAATTACTACATCCATCCCAAAAGTATGCCATCCAAAATAAATATTTTCATAAAAGTATAAAGTTATAGTAATCAAAATTATTATTCAAAGTTTATCATCATTGATCAAGAAAAGTCAATTTGACGACCATTTATTATTATGAATAAAATATGTACCACATAATTATTTAATTTCATCAAAGGAAAACGTAAAGCTAAGATTGAAATAACAAATGTCAGTTAATTTTGAGTCACATAACTGTGATTGTTTTGAAATTCAAATGACAATTTATATTGTTTACAGAATACAGATGATTATTGCTAAGGAATTGGAGAAGCAAATTAGTGCTCTCATGGACGAGGATGAAAGGTCAAAGCCTAAACATAGTAATCGGTCGAGAGTAAGTTACAGTTTTAACCCAGGGGACATATGGTCAAACAAAAAAGGATGTCCAATAGGAAGCGTTCCCATCCGCGGATTGACTAAAACAATTACGAAAGGTTCGAGACCTACACCAAATGCAATACCCTCTCATCCAAAAGCTTGAAAATAACTCCTACGACGTCAACACAGCAGCATTTCTTGATGTAAGAAATACTCACTTCTATCGACTATGATACGAAGTGTTTTGTTACTGCACTTTTTCATCTGTTTTTTTTTAAATGTAAACACATTTTTTACTGAGACGAATTGTGAACCTGTAATATTTTTTTTGGGATGTTAGAGTGATGTCATCGAATCACAATATGTTTGACATGTAATCGCTAGTTAAATAATTTTTTTCTAAGAAAATTCGGGCATTAATCAGTTTGCAGGTATTATTTCCACGGATGCTCCTTCAGGACATTTTACTGGTGCAAAAGCTACAATGACTATATGGAACCCAAAATTGAGAGGGGATCACCAATATAGTTCAGCCTCCATATACGTGGAAAATGGAGATAATCAAATCAGAGTTGGATGGATTGTTAGTTATTCTTTTGTTGCTATTGAATTTTATTATGAATCTATCTATTTTAGTTGTAGTATATGATACAATTATACAAAACATCTAACTTTTAGGATTGTCATGTGTAATAATGGATTCATTTTAGGTCTACCCAGCATTATATGGTGATTCCAGGACTCGATTATTCAGTCGATGGACGGTTAGCATCATTATATTATTTAACTCTACAATTATTAATGGCTTTTATTCATATATCTAAATCTTATGAAAAAATGTAACCCGACATTGTGATATCGTATTTACAGAGTGATAATTACGGGAAAACGGGATGCTACGTAAATCATTGTCAAGGATTCGTTATTTTGTCTAATTTTATACCATTGGATTATGCATTTCCTACAACTTCCGTATCTGAGGGAACACAATATGATGTTACGCTTGAAGTTAGCGAGGTATGGTTTTAATAAGTGTTTTATGTAATGTTTATGATCGAATGGAGAATAGTAATGGTAGAGAATTATAGGGAAGATCAACTAGTGCGTTAATGGATTCATGTGTACGTATATTATACTTACTGTGAAGTGTGAACATAAAATTTTCATTCAAACAACTCTGTATTTACTGAAAAACAACTCCATATTAAATTATATACTACGTATAAACTATTATTACTACCAAGGCTTCTTTTTTGAAGCATTTACTACCAAAGTTAGGGAAAAAAATCAAGTGTTAAAGTGATCATTAATTAATATGGTGACCATTAATTGTATTGATCATATTATAATATGGTTATAATATATGTGTACACCTTAAAGGGGTAAGGCTCAAGTGAGAAGAACCCTTTAGGTGAGAAGTGAGAATGAATCTCAGCCATTGGATTCGACTAAGTTGCAGTAAAAGACACTTCATGATGCACTGAGATATGCAATCTAGCACGGTGACATTTCCGTAAATATTTCTGAAAAAACCGTATTACACTTGTTTAGTGCAACATGAAGCTATTACGGTGCAACGCCGTCAAATATTAGTGCAACACGAAACAGTTTTAGTGCAACATTGCAAAATTTAAATATTACTGCAACATAAAGCCATTTTTAGTGCAACTTCGTAAATCTAATGACTAAGATTCATTCTCATTTCTCACATTAGATGCATTTCTCACTTGAACCAAAATCCACTTTAAAGTGATAATGAAACATATAATGTCAATAAAAGAGCTAATTAATACTACGTACGATAGTATATTCAGATTCCGGATGTACACCAAGGCTCTCAAATGATATGACAGACCTTTTTTTATTTTACAAAATATAGTATTATAAAAACATACTGTATAAAAAATGTGTTTATGAGTTAGTTTCAGTGGTCGAGACAAGAAGGGGTGGAAGGGGTCTCGGCCACCTACCGAAAAAATGTTAGGAGTATGTAAATATATATGTATAAATATTTAGAAGAAACAAAAAATATAATGAAAGTTTAAGTTTTTGCGCATCGACATTTCTGACCCCATCACTGGTTAGTTTGTATTCTCTCCGTTCCTAATAACTTTGTCAAGTTTGATTGACACGAGGAATAATAAAGTAAAAACTGTGTGGTTGAGGAGAGAGAATTAAGTGGAATCACAAATTCTATACTTAAAAGGGAAAGTGGTAAAGTTAATGAGACATACAAAAATGGAAAGTTGACAAAGTTATAAGGGAGGAGGAGTATCATACTTGCGTTGTATTATGTATATCCTTACATCCTATGTTAAATAAGTGGAGATTCAGTTTATATGTTGTTGCATGTAAACTCATCACAGTTCATCCGAGGAATGGTACCAAGTTTTTAATGGTCAGAATCTTGGGTTTTGGCCGTCCTCCATATTCTCCACCATGAGAGACAGTGCTACTCAGTTGCGATATGGAGGAGAGTGTTTCAAGCCCGAAGGTCAGAAAGCTAGTGCTGAAATGGGAAGTGGTTTTATAAGGGTTGGGCAATACGATAGAACATTGTATATGCGACAAGTTTCTTATTTTGATGCTGTTTATGGCCAAGCTCCTCTCACTAATGCCAGGGCTAAAGGTCAAAATTCTAGATGCTACTATGAAGCAGGCAATGAATATAATTATAAAGATCCGTGGTATGAGTTCAATTTTTTCGTTGGAGGGTGTGGTGGTGAAGATAGAACACGTGTCTATACAAAAGATACTTAATTGATATGATATTTTACATTGCAACGTTTGCATTGTTTCTTGGTCAACACCAAAATAAGACTCTGTAATAAACTTATTTATTCCTTTTATGTAATTTTTAACTATTATAGTATTTGTTCTATGATAAATGATAACATTTTTAATTGGAATGTGACTCATATACTTGGAAGAATCAAATATATAATGATATCATAACACGAGCAAATGTTACAACCTTTTCATTAAATGGGGTGTTTGGATGAAGCTGACACGTAAAAATCTGCCTTAAAATGGACATTCATCAATTCTTTTTAGCAAATAAAGCATTATTTCATTTCATACCTAAACATCCCACAAGACCAAACCATTTTCAACCTTTTGTGAAATAACGCCAAAGCTTAATTAAAATACCTCACTCCTCAAACAGCACATTTTAAGGAATTACAAGTCTGACCTTGGAGCTAGGTATTGCAACTTTATCTACTACTCGGCTACTCTTATATACTTTGTATATCTTATACTTTCGAAATCATTTTGACCAATGTTCTGAATGTTATGTTTTTCACTTTCATAGTACTTGTATGAGTAATTGTATAAGAGGAGTAGGTTGATGGATTGAGATGTTCGAATTACTAGATTCTACTTTACTAATATTCCCCCAAGGTTGTTTTGTAATAGTATATTAATAATATGTTTTGCCCCGTACTTAGTACAGTATTATGCAACATTAAGGAAGAAAATTCTGCAAGTAGTTTTGTTACGCGCGTTGCACGAGGGGAAGATGCCCAATGCTATTGTTGTGACCTTAATAGCATGAAATTTATTCGTTAGTATAATTGAGATGTTTGTAATTACACAAAAGCTATATGTTCAACAAAATTCATTGCTATAAAAGATGTTAAAAACATATGTCATACATCTCTTTTTGTGAATTTAGCTTGAGTCATTCTAAATACAACCGTAATGAATATATACACAAAATAGAGAGTTGAATAATGAGTCATTCTAAAGATGAACATAATGAATATATATACATGTATAAAATACATGTATAAGGGGGTGAAATTCAATGGAAGTCCTGATTAAATCAAATGAATCCAATGCACTACTGAAGCTTGTTTGTTTTAAGAATTCCTTGTGATAACTAACTTTAGTAGTTCATTCCCAACTCAAAATAACAACACAAAAAATGCAGCAGCAGCCAGGGCGACAACAAAGGCCGGAACCACAATGGAGGAAACAGAGTTTCCTTGAATTGGAGAATTAGCTACCGGAACTGGTGGAATTCCTGCCAGACTTCCCACCGTAGCAGGGGCTCTTATGGGAGATAACGGCAACATTGTTGGAGCTACCAAAACGGAGAAAAAAGGATACAGTTTAATTAAAGAGATTTTCAATCGTAGTCTCATAACTTTAGACCATTATTATTGTTATTTTTGTAACCAGTAACTTAAATCACTTATAAGTTCGGTCATGTAAACTAATACCAAAATAGATAAATACAACAAATATACTCATTCAATTTATTTTGAATTCAAATAAAATGGATAACAATACCACCCAGGCACCCACTGACCCACATAACACGTCCAAACAAAAACAAGCATATATGTCAACTCTAATACTTCGTATAAAATAGTTTTATTCAAATACTTCATCCATGTCAAATTGTTTTGGGATTTGAAAATCGTTGACAAAATATAAAATTAAGTCATCTCAAGACTCAAGTTAATATGTATATCAATTTTATTGATTAAAATTTACATATTTCAAAACTACGTACACTCAAGTTTCTATAAAATAGAAGTAGAGTTTTGTATATGTAAAATAAGAGAACAAAAATGACTAAACATTTTGGAACCAACGAAGTACAAATAGAGACCATTGTGTATATTAATTCTATAAAATAGAAGTAGAGTTTTGTATATGTAAAATAAGAGAACAAAAATGACTAAACATTTTGGAACCAACGAAGTACAAATAGAGACCATTGTGTATATTAAAACAAACACGATTGTTTGTTCTTTTTTTCTTATCAGCACTTAAGCAACCAAGGGGTTCTAATATATGGATATCTGCCAGACGTTCGTAATACTTAAAATTTGACAAATTAAGAACCGTTCAGTAATACTTAAAATTTCAAAGATTTGCTTGGTCAATGAAAATAAAATTGAACCAATTATATATATTTTTAGAGTAATTCTTGGTATACACAAAATGTACACTTCATATGTACACCGGCAACTAGTGGATTGTGTACAAGCTAAGTTACGTTGCGTACAAATTCTGCGTAGAACAAGAATTATTCAAAATTTTTGTAAGGAAATTATGAAAATATTCTTTAATAAGGATACTTTCATAAAACACACGTACAAAGAAGATAGAAAATAAATTACTAATGACGAAAAAGTTTGAAAGCAACAGATCTGAAACACACGTACCAGGAGGTGATGATGGATTGCCGGTGCTGTTCACTGGTTTTGGGTAGTAATCAAAAGGATCAAACGCATTAAGAATCGTCCGATTTAATGAAAAGAATTACTCCATTCATCCCAAAATTAAGAGTTCGTTAATGGTGTTTTTTCGATGTATGAGCCAACATTTTCATTAAACGTGTAACTTTTGATTTCATGCCTCGAATTATATAATTTTAAGAAAAAGTAAAATTGAAATTACTTTTTCTAGTTTTATTGACTAAAATTACTGTAAAAGATCATTTTAGCTATTTTTATATAATTTTATCTTTATTTTATTAATAAAATATATTTAACATACTACAGATAATTTTTTTACATAACTCAGCAGAATCAGCCAATCCAGCTACTTCAGCTATAAGTTCATAAATTTCAGTAGAATCAACTGATTTTGGTATTACAAAACTGGCTCTAAGTTCCTACTTCAACTTCTATCTATTTTTGGTTAGTTTTTATTAAATCTTATTTATTTATCCTTTTATCCTCAAATCACTTCATTCAATTGACCGTCACTTTGGGCAGAATAACGTTTTTTGCACAAACAAAAACAAAATTACTCGTACAACAACATTTTGACCGGCTTGTACATATTGTTGAAGATGGAGTCTTGTTCTTAGGTTCAGAGCAGATACCCGACCGGGTATGGTTGGCCACCCGACCGGGTATGTTAAAGCAGAGACCGGGGGATCTCACTGGACATGAGACCTAACCGGGTCAGGGAAGGGACCCGACCGGGTCAGCAAGGCAGAAGCCTTCTGTTTTGGAAACCCGACCTGGTTTCCACCGGGTTTGTGTTCTGTGAAGGAGACCCGACCGGGTCAAATAAGAGACCCGACCGGGTCAGGCGACGGGAATTTTAAAAACAGGCTTAATTTTGGGCCTGCGGCTCTTATCTCAGTTTAGGTTTTCCTAAACCTATTTAAACGACTCTTATGTACTTGTAAACCTCTTGGGACGCTGATAATAATACATACTCTCTCTCGTTCGCCGTGGACTAGCACAATCAACCCGATTGTGTGAACCACGTTAATTCTTGTGTTCTTGCTCTTAATTTATCGTTTATCTTTGCCTAATCGTAACAATTGGTATCAGAGCTATGGCTGACGAAGGGAAGGTTAAGATCGATAAATTTGATGGTCAAGATTTCGCTTTCTGGAAGATGCAGATCGAGGATTATCTCTACCAGAAGAAGCTTCATCAACCGTTGTCTGAGAACAAACCAGAAACGATGACGGAGGCGGAATGGAATTTGTTGGATCGACAGGCTCTTGGTGTGGTGAGGTTGTCGTTGGCGAAGAACGTTGCCTACAACATCGTCAACGAGAAGACAACGTTCGGACTGCTCAAGGCGTTATCCAACATGTATGAGAAACCCTCAGCAGCAAACAAGGTTTTCTTGATTAGACAGTTGGTGAATACAAGAATGAAGGAAGGCGCATCCGTGACAGATCACATCAACGAGTTTAATTCAATCATATCCAGGTTAGGCTCGGTTGAGATTAAATTCGATGATGAAGTCCAAGCATTACTTTTGTTATCATCTTTGCCCGATAGTTGGTCCGGTACAGTCACAGCGGTTAGTAGTTCATCTGGAACCACTAAGCTTACCTTTGAAGGTATTCGTGACTTAATCCTTGGTGAGGATATCCGGAGGAGGAGTTCGGGGGATAGCTCCAACAGTTTGTTGAGTACTGAAGATAGGGGCAGAAAATCCACTAGAGGAGGTAACAAGAAGGGAAGATCGAAGTCGAGAAAGAGAGGGCAATCCAAGAACCGGAAGGACATCAATTGTTGGAATTGCAAAGAGAATGGACACTTCAGAAATCAGTGCCCAAAACCCCCTGCAGACAAAGGCAAGAAGGAGGTGAACGTGGCAGAGGATTATGAAGATGTTCTAATTTGCAGCGTTGAGAATTCAGTTGAGTCCTGGATCATGGATTCAGGTGCGTCGTTTCATGCTTGTCATTGCAGGGATTTGATGAAAAATTTCAGGCCCTACAACGGAAGAGTTCGTTTGGCGGATGACAAATCCCTAGAGATGACGGGTATTGGGGATGTTGATCTCAGTACCACTTTGGGTACAACCTGGAGACTGAAAGATGTGAGGTATATTCCAGACCTGAAGAAGATGTTGATCTCAGTTGGACAGCTTGATGAGGAAGGCCATAACGTTAGTTTTGGCAACAAGCAATGGAAGGTGACAAAGGGAAAGCTGGTCATTGCTCGTGGGCAGAAGCATGGTACACTGTACATGGTTGAAGTGTCCACAGATGGGGCAAACGCAGCAGTTGAAGATACAGGGGTCTCTACTTTGTGGCACCAAAGACTTGGGCACATAAGTGAGAACGGAATGAAGATGCTGTCTTCAAAGGGCAAAATCCCAGATTTGAAGAATTCAAAGTTGAGCTTTTGTGAGCCATGTGTTCTAGGCAAACAAAAGAGGGTAACCTTTGTGAAGACAGGGCAGCAACCCAAGATTGAGCGGCTGGAGTTGATTCATTCAGATGTCTACGGACCGACAAAGGTCTCTTCGATTGGAGGTTCCCGGTACTATGTTACATTCATTGATGACTCTACACGGAAGGTATGGGTTTATTTTCTTAAGAATAAATCCGATGTCTTTAACACTTTTAAGAAGTTCAAAGCTGCTGTTGAGAATGAAACAAATCTTAAGATTAAGTGTTTAAAGAGTGATAATGGGGGTGAGTACAGTAGCACAGAGTTTGTAGAATATTGTGCTGAACAGGGGATAAGAATGCTGAAGACGGTTCCAGAAACACCACAGCAAAATGGTGTTGCAGAGAGGATGAACAGAACACTGAATGAGAGGGCCAGGAGCATGAGATTGCATGCAGGACTTCCAAAGATGTTCTGGGCCGATGCGGTGAACACAGCAGCATACTTGATCAACAGAGGACCCTCATCTCCCATAGGTTTCAAAATTCCAGAAGAGGAATGGAAAGGTCGAGAGGTATCTCTTACTCACTTGAAAGTTTTTGGTTGTATTTCTTATGTCAAAGTTAGAGATGCAGATAGTGACAAGCTCGAGGCAAAGGCAAAGAAGTGTATCTTTATTGGGTACGGGATGGATGACATGGGCTACAGGTTCTGGGACAACCACAGCAAGAAGGTTATCAGAAGTAGAGATGTCACTTTCAACGAGAATGCCCTGTATAAAGATGGTCTTGCAGCAGAAACTAGCAAAGCCAAGCAACCAGAAAACAAGCAACAAGTGGTGTTTGACGGGATGACTGAAGATGACATAGCACAACCTGTTGGTTGTGATGAGACAACAGGAGGTTCAGGGAGCAGTGGGAGCTCAGGAGATACAGGAATGTCTGAAGATAGTGGGAGTGATGAAGATGGTGAAAATTCAGAGGCAGCTACTCCTCAAGTCAGACAGTCCACCAGAATCAGAAGACCTCCTAACAGATATTCTCCTTCAGCAAATTATTTGTTGCTGACCGAGAATGGAGAACCAGAATCTTACTCAGAGACGCTGACCGTGAAGGATTCTATACAGTGGAAGAAGGCCATGGAGGATGAGTTAGATTCGCTTGAGAAGAACCAAACTTGGTCCTTAGTCAAGCTACCACCGGGAAAGAAAGCTTTGGAGAACAAGTGGGTGTTCAGAATCAAAGATGAAGCTAATGGGAGCAAAAGATACAAGGCGAGGCTAGTTGTCAAGGGGTTCCAACAGAAGAAGGGGGTTGATTACAATGAAATCTTCTCTCCGATTGTGAAGATGACTACTATCAGGTTGATCCTTGGTATCGTTGCTGCTGAAAATTTGCATTTGGAGCAGCTGGATGTGAAGACTGCTTTTCTTCATGGTGACCTTGAAGAAGACATTTACATGGCCCAACCAGCAGGTTTCCCAGTGAGTGGTAAAGAGAAGATGGTGTGCAAACTCAAGAAGAGTCTATACGGGCTGAAGCAAGCTCCTAGACAGTGGTACTTGAAGTTTGACAGTTTTATGCAGCGGAATGGGTACACTAGATGCAAGATGGACCATTGCTGTTACTTGAAGAAATTCGAGTCTTCATACATTATTCTTCTTTTGTATGTTGATGACATGTTGGTGGCTGGAGCAAACATGCAGGAGATCAACAAGCTCAAGAAGAAGTTGTCTGAAGAATTTGAGATGAAGGATTTAGGGGAGGCGAGACAGATTCTTGGGATGAGCATAGTCAGAGACAAGGTGGAAGGTACTTTAAAGCTTTCACAGCAGAAGTACATTCAGAAGGTCCTTGAGAAGTTCAGAATGACGGATGCCAAGCCAAGGATTACACCGTTAGGGAGTCAGTTGAAACTCTCCAAGCAGCAGTCTCCAAAGACCAATGAAGACAAAGATGAGATGGCTAAAGTTCCTTATGCATCAGCCGTTGGCAGCTTGATGTACGCAATGGTGTCAACAAGGCCGGACATTGCTCATGCAGTGGGAGTTGTTAGCAGGTTCATGTCAAATCCAGGGAAGGAACATTGGGAAGGAGTTAAATGGCTGTTACGCTACTTGAAAGGTACTTCTGAAATTGCTCTTTGTTTCAGGAGGAATGGAGCAATTCTAGAAGGTTTTGCAGATGCTGATTTGGGGGGCTGTCATGATTCCGGGAAGAGCACTACGGGTTACATATTCACTATTGGAGGTACGGCAATCAGTTGGATGTCCAGATTACAGAAGAGTGTAGCTCTTTCAACCACAGAAGCAGAGTATATGGCTATTGCTGAAGCGGCCAAGGAGATGATTTGGTTGAAGAACTTTCTTTCGGAGTTGGGCATGAAACAGGGGGATTGTGGTCTGTACTGTGACAACCAGAGTGCTATTCATCTCGCGAAGAATCCGGTGTTTCACAGCAGAACGAAACACATCAAGATGAGGTATCATTTCATTCGAGAATTGATTGAAGATGGTACTATAAATTTGAAGAAGATCCTTGGAACGAAGAATCCAGCAGACATGCTTACCAAGGCGGTGACAACGGAGAAGTTGAAGCTATGCATGGCTTCAACGGGCCTTCCAGATACTTGATGAGAAGGCGCAGACGAGAGAGAAAGAGAAAAAGAGAGAGAAATCAGGGGTTTTACAGAAGATACATGTTCTTGGATGGCAGATAATTGTTGACCAAGCCTCCAAGTGGGAGATTGTTGAAGATGGAGTCTTGTTCTTAGGTTCAGAGCAGATACCCGACCGGGTATGGTTGGCCACCCGACCGGGTATGTTAAAGCAGAGACCGGGGGATCTCACTGGACATGAGACCCGACCGGGTCAGGGAAGGGACCCGACCGGGTCAGCAAGGCAGAAGCCTTCTGTTTTGGAAACCCGACCTGGTTTCCACCGGGTTTGTGTTCTGTGAAGGAGACCCGACCGGGTCAAATAAGAGACCCGACCGGGTCAGGCGACGGGAATTTTAAAAACAGGCTTAATTTTGGGCCTGCGGCTCTTATCTCAGTTTAGGTTTTCCTAAACCTATTTAAACGACTCTTATGTACTTGTAAACCTCTTGGGACGCTGATAATAATACATACTCTCTCTCGTTCGCCGTGGACTAGCACAATCAACCCGATTGTGTGAACCACGTTAATTCTTGTGTTCTTGCTCTTAATTTATCGTTTATCTTTGCCTAATCGTAACACATATGCCATGTACAAATAGCATCATTCTTCCACTTAACAACTCGTGAAGTCAGTGACGTATCTACTATTGGAGCGGTGGGGGCACTTGCCCCCCAAACCCCACTCATCTCGTACATACGGAGTATAACCTAAATTTTTTAAAAAAATTGCTCAAAATGGAGTTAAACTATATAATTTTCTCTAAATTGATCTTCTTTTAATACCAATATGTGCATACATTTATAATTCAACTAAGACTAATCAAACAATACGAATAAATTGATCTGCTCTTTATTAAATACGGAGTATGTGATTAAATTTTTGTGTAAGTTCGCCTCCACTCGTAAATATTTCTGAATACGCCATTGCGTGAAGTCAAACATAAAATTTAATTTTGGAAAAGAGAGAGTAAAACAGAAGCCATGGAAAAACTACTCACGGTCACAAGTAGAAGCACTAACGTGGCAAGCAGAGGGGAGCGTCATCGCCTTGGTGACGTTCAGAGAAACTCCGAAACCCGCGCTGCCCTTAAGCCCTTCACACAGGCAACTCGCATTGGTTGCCAACACCAGTTTGAGCCCGGAGCAGCAGGTCCCTTCCGGCTCCGTCGTCGTACTAACATCGGAGACGAAAGACAGACAACCAGCCAGGTTGTTTATGACGGGGCCGCAATCTTGCGCCGCCGCGGGGACTGCCCACACGGCGAGAATGTACACCGGTAGTGAACAAAAAACGTTCGAGCCCAGCCCCATTTCCTAGCAAACAGACGGTTGATCGGAGATTTATTAGGACGAAGGGAAAGTAGTGATCATATGGAGAGTGACTGGAAAATGATGAGATTGTGGTCAGAGCCAGGGAAAGCTAGGCTTGTATAAGGATGATTCAGTCGGGTGAGGTGTAATGTGAACATATGAGTGGGGGCCAATGTTTTTGACGGCACGGAATTGATGTGTCCCCTCACTTTCCTAAATTATCGTTGTGGTCGTGTCTATTACTACTCCGTTCTAAAGTCGTCTATTGTTTCTGACATTAGAATAGTAAGCAACGGAGCAACGAATAGCAATTGAGTAGTCTTCTTATCTGGCCGGCCTAACGAGAACCGCCGTCCGGCCAAAGGTATTTTGGATCCTTCTCGTTGGATTCTTTTGATATTTTTTTTTGAGAATGTTTCTCATCAAGTCTAATTTATCCATACTAAATTTTAGCAAAAAATTCAATCGGGAAGGCAATCAAATAAATTATTTACGAACACTGCACGGTTAATACATATAAACAGCGCAGTATTTTTCAAAAAAAAACATTTGATTGTCTTCCCGAATGAATTTTTAGCTGAAATTATGTATGGATAAACTATACTTGAAAAAGAACATGCTCAAAAAAATTCATCAAAACATTCCACCAGGAAGTGCCCGAAATGCCCTCGGGCAGACGGCGGTTCCCGTCAGGTTGGCTGGACATGAAGATTTGTCTTAATAATTTAAATAATATTCAAGTTCAAAAAACTCCATCGAAACATTCCACTGGGAAGTGCCTGAAATGCCCTCGGGCAGACGGCGATTCCCGTCAGGTTGGCTGGACATGAAGATTTGTCTTAATAATTTAAATAATATTCAAGTTCAAAAAATATCATTTTAGATGAGTAATTCTTCTCATAATCCCATCCATTCCAGTCGCGATCGAGGCCGCTTAAGCTCACGTACCCCGACTAGACCGATCGGGGAACATGTCTGTCATTGGATGATCGCCCCGGACGAGCAGGGGCGGACCTTCTTTATACAGAGGTGTTCATGTGAACACCCAAAATTTTGAAAAGTAAGTGTAAAAAAAACATATATATAATTGATGTAATAATTTATATATTATGCTATTAGATGACATCTTAATGGTAAAGTAATTTCGAACACCCAACATTTAGTTGCAAGATCCGCCACTGCGGACGAGCCCAAACACCTATGACATCTGAATAATCCAATGTGCATATGGGTAACAGACTGACAGCCCAAAATGTTCATGAGCAATTAAATTTCCTCCTCTTAATTTATAAATACATAATCACAAAAGATAAAAGTTAATGCATTTAATTGTTTTTGAGTGATCCCTTGGTCTTGGAAAAATTAAACGGATTGTTGCCGAGCATTTCCACGACGCTTGGGCCACTTATGGGTAAGTAGATAAGGAGACCCATGACTTCTCGTGGAAGATGTTCAAGGTGAAAATAAATTAATTATATGCATAACTTTTTAGCAATTGAATTTTAATAAATGGTTCATGATTTTTTTAATAAAGCTTGAACATAGATAGGATATTGGAGAAGCCGATGATAAAAGAATACAATTCAAGAGTCTCGACTTGGATGCGATCTCAATTTCGGCACGTCCGAACTAAAAATATAAGGCCGAATTACATCCCCGAGGACATTTGGAGTAGCTAGGCCTGTACAACATTGGGCAATTGATCCGAGCTTTAAGAAATTAAGCGAAGCGGTAAGAAAAACAAGAATAGTGAGAAAGCGAAGAAGACTCAATGACGTGGGGGGCCACGCGCTTGTTGATGCACATAAAAACTGGTAATCAATAGGGTTAATTATAGGGTTAATTATATAAATAATTATTATTAAGTAATTTTACATTTGTGTAGGAGGGACCTGGACCCCAATAAAGTGACAAAATGTGATTTGATCAAGACTTGTTGGTATTCAAAGACCGAAGAGTCATGGCTGCCCTGAAGTCGAAGTAAAGAGTGTAAATCATAATTATATAATAAATCACTAAATAATTTTTTAAATCATAACTATAATTAGTTTATGAATTTGTAGAGGAAGTGCGATGAAGATAAGTTGAAGAAGATTGCCGAGCGAAGTGATTCGGAAGCGGAAATTGGTAGTACAGAAGATGATGCCGCCTACATGACGGCGGCAGGTGTAGTGAAAGGTCGGGTTTCGTGTATGGGTTCTCAATCTCGTCGTTTTTTGAAAAAAAAAAAAAACTCGAGGGGCCAGTTCATTTTGTCAAGTTGTGGCTAGCAAAGACCGGGTGACCCGACTTGAGATGGAATTACAAAGAGAACGAGAATAGCAGGAAGAGGAGTTGAAGAGAGAAAGATAAAGAAACGGGAGCTCATGAAAAGTCAAATGAATGAGTGTTTTATCCAAATGGCGGGATCCAATGCATCCCCAAATGTCACCCAAATGCAACCACACATGACTAACATGGGCATGATGTTCACATATTCCCTATCTTTTGTGGGATGCCAACCAAAATGCTTGGAATGCAACCCCAAGTGTCTTTTATGTCGTATTATCAAGCTCGTTAACATTTTTTTACACCTCCTAGACGAGGCGTCGGGCAAGATGGCAATCAAGGCGATGGTCAAGGTCAACCCGAATCAAGCTTCCATCCTAGTACCGAATTTGATATCAACTTGTATTTTGACCCCAATGGGAACCCTCCTAGCTAGTCCTCCAAATATATTTAATACTGTAATAGTATTAGTAAACAATTTCTTTAATTCTGCAATTTATTTTGGTTGCTGGATTTTTTTAATCTAATAATTTCTTTGTCACATATTGTAGCGGTGACATTTTTTTTTTAAATTCGGAAAACCGTTTTTGTTCGCTTTGTTTAAGTGAAATTTTTAATTTTTTTAATATTACATTTGTCATGGATACAAGTCGTGACAAAAAAAATTAAAACCTTGCGGCGCCATTGTCACGGATACAATCCATGACAAAGTTTAACTTTTCAAATTCTAAAATTTCCCGCTCCGTTGTCACGGATTCCATCCCTGATAAAGTCGTTGTGGACTGTTTTGTCACGGATATATTTTGTGACTAAATTTTGTCAGGGATTGTGTCTGTGACAAAGTTTTGACACGGATGATTGACTGCGAAAAACTTTTGTCATGCCCATGATGTCACATAATTTATCGTTGCCAAAACATTTTAATTTGTCACAGATTATTTACATTGTTGTACGTGACAAAATTCATTTTTTTTTGTACTGCAAAAAGTTGCTAGCTACTTGGCAAATTAATTAATCGATAAGGGAATACTACGTATAAATGTTCCAATCATTCCATCTCAAAATCTATTTCCCGACATAAAATATGCCATAATCCAATGATATAGCCTGAAAAACGATTCAAGGAGTAGAAACATAACTAAATACAAAATAGAAAAGCTGAATCATTATTTTAAAACAATACCTGAGTTAATTTTTTATATGTAGCTTAAATAATGAGAGTTTAAATGAGACTAATAAAGTTATAGATTGGATATATATGTCATATACATTATAGACCTCAAATATATAATGAGTGAATTTGATGCTATTTTTAAATTTTGAGACTACAGTCAATATTACACGTCAAATTTGACTAATTTCAAATTATAATGGTGTTGATTTTTCAAGAATCATAACTTGTTACTCCTAATGAATTATGAGAACCATAATATCAAATTGAAACTATTTCAATGCTCTATATTCTCGAACTTTAAAGGGGATCAGATGACCTTTTAAGGGAATCAGCTAACCATTCTGACCCCTAACTCCACCCCTGCCTCAAGCAATAAACTCTTTCTTCCCCTTCTCAAACCCAATTTTAGAGATTCCGTCCATTCAAAACATGCTTTTTACGCTTGCATCAGCACACAATTTTAGTACTTCGTTCCAATTTCCAACTCAAAATAGCATCTCAAAAAATGCAGCAACAGCAACAAAGGCGGGCACCACCATGGAGGAAACAGAGTTTCCTTGAATTGGAGAATTAGCTACCGGCACTGGCGAACTTCCGGCCGGACTTCCCACCGTAGTAGGAACTCTTGTCGGAGATAACGGCAACACTGTTGGAGCTATCAAGATGGAGAAAAAGGATATATCACCACACATAATTTTATAAAAGGAAAAATTCAGTAACAATAACAAACTAGTTCATATGGACTAGCTAGTCTGTTCATATGGGCACCCCACCTTTTACTAACCTAATGTCTTCTTTGCAAAGTCAACTTTATTTCTTATTGGATCAAAACCCGTGAAGTCAAACATGAAACTTAATTTCGGAACGGAGAGAGTAAAATAGAAGCAATGGAAAAACTACTCACACACGCAATTGCTAACGGATGAATCGCTAACGTTGCAAGCAGAGGGGAGCGTCATCGCCTTGGTGACGTTCAGAGAAACTCCGAAATCCGCGCTGCTCTTAAACCCTTCACACAGGCAACTCCGGTTGGTTTTCAACACCAGTTTGAGCCCGGAGCAGCAGGTCCCCTGCGGCTCCGTCTTCGTACTGCCATTGGAGACGAAAGATAGACAATCAGCCAGGTTGTCTATCATTATGACGGAGCCGCAATCTTCTGCCGCCGCGGTGATCGGCCACACGGCGAGAATGTACACCGCCAGTGAACAAAAAGCGTTCGAGCTCAACGCCATTTTCTAGCTAACGGAAGATTGATCGGAGATTTATTAGGATGAAGAGAATGTAGCGATCGATGGTGAATGGAAAATGCTCAGATTGTGGGCAGAGGGAAAGGCTTATGCTGTGTATAAGGATAGAGATTAGAAACGGTGTTGCACTTTCTCAGTTAGTTCAGGTGTAATGTGAACATACGAGTGGGGGCCACACTGTTGACAGCAAGGAATTGATGCGTCCCTCACTTTCCTAAATCATTGGTGTGGTCAATGATCCTTTGGCTAGACGCCATTCCAGAAGTCATTTTATAGGTCTATCAAATTATCCGTATACAATTAAATCGGCGTTTTGTGAAGAAAATCGGAACTTGGGAAGACAAAAAGAAAATTGTCTGTGTCATATACAATTTTATTTTTGTTTATGTGAAAAACAGTTTTCTACACAAAACGCTGATCA